CGAGTCTGCCACATTGTTCCGTTGCAAAGTTATAAGCACCAGAAAAATTAAGAAAAATGGCTCAATTAACGAAAAAATATCAAAAACTAGCTAAAAAATAAGTTTTTTAAAGTTTTTCCGGTGCTTATAACTTTGCAACGGAACAATGTGGCAGATTCGGCTTACTCTCATTTTGTTCAAAATTTTTTGCTCTTTTAGATGGCTATATTTAAAAATAATTCTGTAGATTTTTTCGACTAGTTGAAATTGCAGTGAACTCGTTTTTTGAAAACTTCTCTTAAAAAAATTCCTTTGAGAATTTTAGTTCATAGTGTATTCGATAGAGAATTTCATGGGCTATCCAAATCACAATTTATATATGACCTAACTATTTCCTTTTGTTGAAAAAGTTCAAAAATAAAAGGGGTCCTATAATTTTCGGGCACCCTGTGCTATATAGTTTAGATCGATTTCACACATTCTATAGCTCTAAAGATAAAAGCATAGCTACGAATTTTGGTATTCGAAACGACGAATATGATTTGATCATATAGTTTAGTTAAAGTTCATTTTCTATTCATTAAATTATTAGAATACAAACAAATGAAGACCAGCTACTAGAAACAGCTTTAGGAGAAATATTGGCAGAAATGTGAAGAGTACAAGCTGCAATAGAATTCTATTTGAACTATTGAAATTTTCGAGACAACAGACCTAGGTCAGGAATATCCCCGTTGTTATCTTCAGTCTTTTCTATCTTTTTCTAATAAATAAAAACGTTGAAATCAAAAAAAATATTAGAATATACATGATACTTTTATCTAACAACTGTATTTCGATTTCTTAAAAAACTCATAAATAAAAATTTCCTATAGACAACTATTTGTTAATAAAATTATGAAATGGAGAAAGATTAGACCGGAATATAAAGATAATAACAGCATGAGCAGAAAAATTAACCATTAGAAAAATATACGAATACAAAAAGGAAAAAGATTAGGAAGTGGAATGAGAATGGAATCAAGTTCAGCATCTACCAATTTTCCATTGATTTATATAATCAAATTCTTGAAAATACTGTTGATCTACGTCATGTGTTGGATGAGGATCTTGCGCTGGTGTCAACATTGATTTTTCTGATGTAAATTCTGAATAAAAATTGGAAACATCATCTACATTTTGCTCAAAATAACAAAAGAAAATCCATTAATAAGATAAATTCTAGTTTGAAATTAAAAAAAACACAAACTACAATAGGAACGAAAGGTGATAGTTTTCTTTGCCAACACGTCTTCCCATATACTATTCTGAAAAAAAAACATAAAAGAATTTTGTTGAACAATACATAATTCAATAAAATGAACCTTAAAAAAAATTATCATTTGACATCAATAGCATCATGTTTGCTAGTGCCTAATCTACGCGCAACGTCTTTGCAAAGAAGCTTTAAGTAAATTGATAAATTCAATAAAGTAATACATGAAAGATAAAATAATGATCATACATATTTCATAATATTATTTATTGATTCAACAGAAAGAAATTTGCCTTCTTCATTTATAATTGAATCAAAAACTTCTTCATCATGACCTGGAAAAGGAGATACTCCAACTAACATTTCATAAATTAAAACACCTATTTGCTCTAATTAAAAATCAAATAAATGTCATAATTAATTATCTAAACTTCACCAATCAACAGCTCATGTATATGGAGCTTCAGTAAATATTTTAGGTGCCAAAAACTAAAATCAGATTGAAAATAATTAAAAAAAAACAATTATAAATTCACTTCCGGTTTACCATCAAATGTACTTGTAATTTCACCGTAACCAACACGTTCTTTAGAAAGACCTAAACTAAAATAGTCGAGTTAATAAATAAAAAAAGAAAAATGGATGTTCACTAAGATTTATTATTTCAATCATTTATAATTCAACTTCATCTCGCACTAATATATCGCATTTTTTTACACTGCATAATAATCTCCACAACGAGGGATATATTCTTGTAATATGGCCTTTTGATTTTTAATTAAATTTATTATTTTATCAAAATAAAAAGAAATTTACTTTTCCAAAATGACCTTGACCTAAAACACTAACCAAACAAAATAAATTAATATTAACACCTTTTGAAAATCTATATCAAGATAAAGATTTTTTTTAAGAAAAAATAGTTCGAAAATAATAAACCTTGAATTTGATATATTTAAAGATGTTTTCTTGTTGCATTTGAATTTTGTTCTTCATTTAGATTTCGCAATATTTTATTCAACTTTTATAAAGATTCATATTCAACAACAGGTAGATTTGATTGACGCATATCATTCATTTCATTATTTTCATTAATTGATTGAGAGCTGATTGAACTAATGCATTTGTTTGATGAGAAAATGATGCTTTCGGTACTACAGAATTCAGAGGAACTTTCATATTATTTTTGTCCACTTCTAAAATTGTCTATTGAAACAAAAAGGTTTTGATTAAATAATCTTTTAAAATATCATATTTCATTTGTTCTTTTATTAAAAAAAATCTTATCTAATTAAGAATTCGATATATCCTATTGAAATAAATTAAATACTTTAATTTGATCTCATAATTAGATTGATTTGCTGGTGAAAAATATCCAACTTTTCTTGGTGGCATTCCATCTTCTAATAACATATCATAAACAACATAATGTGAATCTCTTGATGATCATATGAAATTATTTTCATCAGAATTATTTGAGTGTTATTACACCTTTTCTTATTAAACGATACTATAATGTGTTACATCAATATGCATATCGGATGGTTGTGGAAGATTTTTTCTTTTATTAAACAAAAAATTTGATTTATTTTGAAGTTTGAAAATAAACTTTTTCGTTTTCAAAAAATAATTTCTTTTATTTTTTTAATTTAGGTGCACGTTTAATTAATGGATTTATAAATTTAATCTATTTTATAAAATAAAAATAAAAAAATTAATAAAATCAAATAAACTAAACAAACATCAGCAAAAAAGAAGTCCTTGTGGTTCTAAATGAATAATCATTCCACTTATTTCATTTTTTAATTAATAAAACCTTCTAAACAAATAAAACGTATTCCACACACATTGAACGATAATTACGCCAATATACATTTATCCATGTTTTCGAGCCTTTTGTTTTTATAAAAATTAATTGTAATTAATTAATAAAAATCGAACATACTCAATCAAGTTCAATTGTAAAATGTTGATCTAAAGCTTGTTGACTACAGACTTTGAAACCAGTTTCAGCTTTCTGAACATTATCAATACGTCATATTGCAGTTATTTCATCTGAAGAAATTTTATTTCAACAAAGTTTAAAAATGGGCTCAATTCACTCATGTCTAATACTTTTATAAAAATAATTCGATCCAAATTTCTGGAGATGAATCTATATGAATTCAGTCTGTTTATTATATGATAATCAAATAGAATTTTAATTCCCAATGAATCTCAAAATATCCATCAATTATTAATTGAGTTTATCTATAGTTTTGATGAGTCTTGTTGGCAAAATGAAATATTGGAATATATAGACAATTCCGTTTGCTAGGAACATGACTTCGCAAAATTAAAACGCTTAGACTTCTAGATAATGAACTCCTCTAGAGCTGATTTTTTTATGTCATAGGCATATTAAGTTACTCTATATAGTCTGAAATATTCAGGCGTATAACTCTTTGTTGAGAGAAGTTATCACCAGAAAGTAGGGTTAGGGACGTGACCAAAAAAAAGACATCAACTTTGACTACGAGTACTTCAGCGTAAGAAAACTACGAATTGGGGCAGTATTCTTGGAAACTAAATAGTACATGCTGTAGATGAATTTCGATAGTACAAAACTTCTATCGGAAGTTTTTTCTCAGTATGCTTAGATTTTTCAAAAACCTCGCTTTACTTTTTGTTAGGAACGTGACACATTCGTTAAAGATGTGACCGAGTACGAATACGAAAAAAGAAAAAATGCTCTTATAACTGAATGAGAAGTTCAAAACCAATTCCAAGCGGTACAAATCCTTCCTTAGGATCTTCAGATAATAATAGGGCAAAAAATTTGATTTCAGAACTTAGCAATACCTCTAGAGGGCTCGTTTTCATAAGGAAAATTTTTGAATTCCAATCTTGCTGAAAATTTTACCATAGATATTGTTCTCGATGTAGAGTTTAACCTGAAAGTTTTAGGCTTTTGCCTCATATTATTAGAGAGATATTCACTAATTATTGCTTAATTAATTTCAATTAATTATCAGCTGAAAGTGTTAACACTTTTACATATGTTTATGCTAAAAGAACCTATTCAGGAAAAACACTATTTTAAAATATCAAAGTCGAATGATAGAAGAGTATATCCCGTTTTTCGTGAAATTGTCCATATAATAAAAAAAAGAATAATTGATTTGTTAATAAAATCTTACTTGATAAATTATTGTTTCTACGTAATGTTCTAAATAAAGCTTCAGGAGTTGTACTAAAACTATCACGTTTAGTAAGAGTTGTAAGAAGAGATTGTTGAAGTAATCCTTGAAAATCCAGAAGTCTTTTATATAAATAAAAACGAAATAAAAGATAAATGAATGAAATAATCTAATTTAACTTCAAGTATTCCAGTAATTGGATTTGCTTTTAAAATAGCTTAGTTTGTTAATAGAATGGTTTAGATTGAAACAAATTTGTATAAGCTTGAGATAAAAGTTCTTTTTGTTTTTGCTCGATTTTATTTAAGAAGTTGAATAGCATCTTCTGACCTTTTTTTCATAGTTGTCTCAGTTGATAAATGATGTTCTAATTGTTGAATTGTTTGTTCTGATGGATAAATTAATGTCTCGAATAATTTTATTTTCTTTAGTTAAATTAAAATTATATTAAAGAAGTTTTATTTCTAATTTAATAAATTCAATTTTCGCTTTTACATCTTATAATAAAATTTGAGCTTTATCACACATTTTTTTGTGCTGTTAAAAGAGTTTCTGCACGTGCTTTTATCTATTGATTTATTGTTTATGAAATTCATTTAAAAAAGAAAGAAAAATGTACAATGAATACTTTAAGTTCCATTTGAAGTTGTTGGAGTGATTGAATTTTTTCTTCAATTGGATCAAATTTATTTATCGATGAGTTTGTATTGTTTGAAACTAAAACCATTAAAAAAACGTTGAAAATAAAATAAAAGATGATTTGTACGATTTTCTAATTTGTGAATTTTCATTTTTAAAAAGTCAATTTTGTCTTTGACATATCTAAGAAGAATTTATGTTTCATCAACGATGTTTTTTTTGTGCATAATGTTTATTCAATAATGATTGAGCATCTCTTTGCATTTTTAATTCAATTTCAACTTGTTTTTTAATGAATTCATTTATTCTTCAATTGATATCTCTTCTACTTCATCAAAATTTTTCCTTTCTAAATGTACAAAAATTATCAAAAATAACAAAAGATTTATTTAAAAACAATCAGAAGTTTGTTGAGTTTTATTCATTGTTGATGATAGGGAATTTATCTAATTGGATATAATATCGAATTCGAACAGAACAGAACATACATTATATCATATCCATTATATCTATTAGTCGTCATTTAAATAAGCAATCAAATAGATAAATATTTCGATAGCGACCTCTTGAAAATAACTGTTTTATTTCAATATCTTATGAGTGAGTGTTCAGTGCCCGGCAATAGTTTTGCCACTATTCAAATGAATATTTTCTTCTATTTTGACATACAGAGTTAGGATATTGTATATTCATATACTGAAGAATTAGGAGCATTTACTATGCGGAACATGTTCATTTATCATTTTTGAACACAGTAGAAATATGTGAAACACATTTACCAAGAAACATTTTCAACTGCTCAATCACTTTGAGTTCTAACTTTGTGTATAAGATAGACTCTAATCACATATGAAAATTCCCAAAACAATAAATCCTCTTAGATCTTCTGTTTAAAATTCTAGGTATTTTTACTGGAGTTTTACCCTGCAACATAGTACACGCAATGAATGGCTGAAACATGAGAAAAAATCATATCTCCATTGCACAAGCATGTTACATCTGCTTCAGCAAGAAACACAAATGCTTGAAAAAGATTACAAGTACATGAATGCGATAGGCAAACGCTTTACCTTTCTGAAAGGTATCATATGTTGCCTCAAGCTGTGTTCATTGTGCATGACTTTCTTGTTCAAGATTTTCCAGTATTGCATGTGCATGAAAGAAAAAGTTGGACTCGCGAAGTTAAAACAGATTTAAATGATCTTTTTCAGGTGAATTAATGTTAATGTGTCAACCACGTGTAATACGCTTTTTTTTCCAATAAGAAAGCAGACGTATCATCTCATATATACACACTTTTTTCATCAAACAATATATACATAAAATATGACACTTATGATTTTATTGCACATCAAAATAAATATCGGCTTTTTCACAGACATTTTGTCTGCATTAGACAGAAAGACGTGTTTTCCGCTCTCATTGGTGACTGAACTGCTTGATGTGTAGACGTCGTTGACTTAAAACAAAATTCATTTCATTCACTTTCCACTGTGTTTGACCCTAAATGCTGAATAAAAAGGAAAAAAAATATTTGATTGGTTATCCATTCATTCATGGTCAATTTAGACAACACAAACATATACTCATTGTTTCCGTTGACGACATCGGTCAGATAGAACAGATGAGTATAGATATTTTTCCAAGCAAAGCAAGAAAAAAAAAACATAAGTGATGAGAATGAACATGGAACATTCATGTGTTCAACTAGACAATTTACCAGATGAAATTCTTCTGATTATTTTCCAAAAACTACACAATTGTGATGTACTTTATTCTTTCATAGGTCTTAATAAACGACTTGATACAATTGTAAATGATACAATTTTTACAAGAAATTTAACACTAATAACATCTGCTCATAGTTCATCACATCAATTTACTGATATGGTACTTGATCGATTTTGTCGTGAAATTTTACCTAGAATTAATGATAAAATCGAACGACTTAATATTGAATCATCAATTATGGAACGAATTCTTCTTGCAACAAATTATCCCAATTTACATGCACTCGGTTTATATAATTTTGCATTTGAAACAGCGAATCAACTCTTTTGTGGTAAGGTATTTTTCTTCTACTCTTTCAATGATTAATTGTATAAGACAAATTTATTTGAAAATATCTTTTTTTATAGAATCAGAATTTGATAATAATTCAAAATATAAAGACATCAATTAATAGAAAACAAATATTGTTTTGTAATGTCTTCAATTAAAATTCTTTCATTCTCAAAATAGAAAGTCGAGACTATATAATAGATGATTAAGATAATAAAACACAGTATGGACAATACATTACAATCTATTAGAGAATTTAAATCATGATTAGTGAACAATCGATTTATTGATAAAGAAAAAAGAATCGAAGATTTTAAGTTAATAAAGAAAATAAAAATTAAAAAATAATTTAATAGAAAATTTTCAATTTTTGTCTAGATGGAAGTTATTTAATTCGTCAATTTCAAAATCAAATCTCATCACTTTTTATTAATATGAGACCGCATGTACAACTAAGTGATGGATGGGGACATCCACAGAAAAGAAATATATTTATATTTATTAAATTCTGTACTCGATTCAAGAATTTACAATGTTTAAATTTCAGTTCATCTTGTGATTATGAACAATTAACATTTACTAGCATAGCTCCAACTGAATTCTCTTCGAATTTATTAGAATTACATGTTGTAATAAAAACTATCATAGATTGTCTTTGTTTGCTTGATGGTCAGTTCAATCAACTGCATACGCTTTATGTTACGATTCGTCCTCGTGGATATTGCGAGTGCCCACTGGTTGGAAACGATGTAAGTTACTCATATTAATCATTTTTTTATTCAATAAATGAATAATATTTACGCATATTAATTTTTATTTTGTGTTTTTAGACGAAACTGCCCAATTTACAATGCTTTTCGCTAATCCATGAAGGTCGAACATCAATGTATGATGAAATATTTGTTCCACTTTTACGTAGAATGCCAAATTTAGAAGAACTTAGTTTATATTTTGTCAGTACACGTGGACCAATTATTGATGGTGATAATTTGGAAAAAAATATTATTAATCATATGACAAGATTAAATAAATTTATATTTAATATTTGTTCAGCTATTTGTCTTGATCAGTTAGTTAATTTACCATCAAATGAAAATATTCAAAGTGCATTTCGAAATTTTCAAAATAGTCAAATTATTTCATTTGTTGATTGTTTTTTAGAATCAGAGTTATATTATTATCATATTTATTCATATCCATATACATGGAACTTTTTTAATAATATAACAAATAATTTTCCTGGAGGATTATTTAAATGTGTTCGTGAAATATCATTACTTGATGAACGTCCATTTCAACATGAATTTTTTCTTCGAATTGCTCACTCATTTCCATTTATCAATAAATTAACTTTAAATAATCGTGAACCACAAGAAAATGATAATCAACAATGTTTAATCATAAAATATCATCATCTTACTATACTTGATCTTGTTAAAGCTCATGATAATTATGTTGAAGAATTTTTAAACAGTACTAAGACGTATTTATTAAATAATGTTCATCTTTATGTACGTTATGGTTCTTTACAAAAAGCAACAGACGATTTTACAAGAGATGTAACACAAGTTAATTGTTCCAAAATCATTCGTCTTGTAGTGTTTGGCCATGATATAGAACTTCCAAAATTAAAAGACTATTTTCCTCATGCAAATATCTCCTGATTATTGAAAGATATTATTTAAATGAAATTTGAAACAGAAAGAAAACAAAATTTTATATTTGATAGATAAGAGATAAAATTAAAATATTTGTCAAAAAGATTATAAAGAATAAGATATGAATTATGTAACTAAGAAAAGAACTTCCTTGAAAGAGAGAAGCCAAAAGTTCTAGTAAAGATGCAGGCTGCCATAAAAGAATAAAATTTCCCCGATCGAAGAAATTTTCTGAAGAATTTTCACAGGTCTGACCCAGGACGAGCA